ATTGTCTGTTCACCTCTGGCTCCTCCTCGGCGAGGTTCTGGCAATAATCCTCCGTGTTCAGGTCAGGCCTGAACACCATGATGTAACACTTGGGCACGAAGTAACTAGCCAAAATGCCCAGGCTGGTGGCCAGGATGGTGCAAATCTGCGTGACTGCCCTGAGCACCGTCCTGAGCGTGGCAAAAGTGACGAGGAAGAAGATCCAGGTGACCAAACAGGTGAGGGTGGCAAAGGTGATGCCCCTGGCCACGTTGTAGCTCCTGCCCGGCGTTTGCACCATGAAGGTGCACAGGAAGCAGACGAAGGCCAGGCAGCTGTTGTAGCCGTGCAGGAGGGCAAAGGCAGCCCAGGACCGGGTGCCACACACCAGCAGAACCTCGCTGGGCAGGGATTTGTAGTCGACCACCATTAAATCGGGTCCCAGGTAGAGGTGGAAGCAGCAGAGCAACACCTGGATGAGGAGGGACACGGCCACCAGCAGCCAGGCCCTGCCGTGGGTCACCCAGCGCAGCAGCCTGGGGGCACAGCGAGGGAATTCCGTCACCAGCGTGATCTCCAGAGCCTTGGGGACAAAGGTGGAGAAGCAGCCGTTGAGGCACAGGGCGTAGCAGAGCTGCTGCAGCCGGCAGAGCTCGGCGCTCGGCCTGCCCACGTACAGGCAGCAGCTGAGGCTCTGCAGCAGCAGCCAGAGCAGGGCAAAGGGGCTCCGGGCACCCCCGGACACCCGCACCAAGGGCGTGTGCAGGTGCTTCAGGAACAGCAGAGCTGCCACACCGCTCAGGGCTGCTGTGAGGGCCGCCAGGGTCACCAAGGCCACGGCCAGGGGTTCGTGCCAGAAGAGGAATCTCTCTCGGCGCGGGTGGCAGCGGGTGCTGCGGGCGGGAGCCCACTGGTGCTGCGGGCACGGGGAGCAGCCGGTGCTGTCTGCAAAGACAGCCTGGTCAGCACTGGCAGCCCCTCGGGGACGGGTCACTCGGGGATTAGGGGGTGTTTTGGGTGATGTTCTGCCCGTTTCCAGTCTGTTGGATGTCTTAAAAGTTGTGGTAGTTCATCCTCTGCTTTTCCACCCTCCTCCCTGAAGGATCCTTGTATTTCTTGCTTCTGTTTTCCTTCCCCAGCAATCCCAGAATTTTATCCTGTGCCTCTCTTGTACCCATGCCCCCAGAACTCCACCGTACCCCTCTCTCTTACCTAAACACAAACACTGTCCTCATTCCTTCCCTCCTCCCAGCAGTGAGGAGCAGAACAGGGAGGGGAACACCTGGCAGTGCTCATGGGGGAGAGCCCCCAGCTCAGCCAGGAGACAGAATAATCCTGTTAAAACCTTTAAATTGCCCAGACCTCACCTGAGCTGCTCCAGAAGGTGTTTTCTGAGCAGTCTGTGCAGTCATAGCAGCAGAGGTTGAATCCTTTTATTCTTCTGAATTGTCCTGGCTGGCAGCGCCTGAAGCACTCGGATGTGGGCTCCTGGCAAAGGCAGGAGAGAACATCAGCCATGAGAATTGTAACCTCAAACTCAAAATCTCAAAACAAATCAGAAAGAACCGTGCCACTTTTACCTTCTTATCTGCAGTGTAGAACTGGATCTGGGATTTACGGATGTACAGGGACTGGTCGTAGTCCCCCACGGGCAGGTAGGTGACAGTGCCATCCCTCCAGGCCCAGAAGATGAGTTTGTACCCCGTGTTTGTGCCGTGGGATTGATCAAACCTGAAGCTCTGGCCGTTCACCTCGAAGGGGAGGCTGTTCATGAAGTGCAGCAGCTGGGGAGGAAATGAAATCAAAACCGATTTTGGTACAGTTGTTCTCGTTTGGAGGATGATAATTCTACAAGCTGAAATCAGTTGTCCTTTAGGTGGGCTAACGTTGGATCCCAGAAATTTGGGGGTTTTTGTGCTTTCAGGCACAAACCCTCTGGAAAACACTGCCTTTGACCTGAGACCTTGGGGACGGCTTTTAAATATGAGTGGTGAAGTAGAAATCACGAGTGTGTAGTGAATTAGGAGTGTGTGTTTTCACAGGGTGATGGGCTTTAAATTTGAAGTTTTTATAGTATAGTAATAAGTATAGAACAAGATGGAGGATTTTGGGTGGTGTCTCTGTTTATCTTTCTTCTTCTTCCCTCTTCATGGTTTTCAAGTAGTAGTTTCTGGTTGGTCAGTGTCACTCTAAGGGTCATGGGAATCTAGTTATTGAGTCAAAAGTATAAATAATATAGCTGTTAATTCTCTATTGGACTGTTTAGCTTTAAAAAACCTTGTAGCAGTTGCCTCTGTGGCCATTTTTCCTCACTTCTAGCAAGGAGCTGGAAGTGCTCTTTGTACTTTCTGATAAGATAAAATAAACATCCAGGCCCAAACACGACAAAAACTCTTTCAGTCATGTTTCTGTTAACCCTGGCTCTGAAGGAAAACAGTTGAGACTGATGACAAACCATTAATTAAGAGCTGCAAAGACCACAAACTGAGATTGTGACAAAAACCTCCCTCACCTGCCAGGACCTGATGGGCGTTTTGGGGCAGCTCCTGGAGGTGCAGCCCAGGGCTCTGTGCAGAGCATGGGCCACGCTGTACACGGCCACCTGCACTGGCTGCACCGTGGTCACCGTGAGCATGGGCCAGATGTCCCCAAGGGTGACACGGTCACACTGCTGGCAGTGCGTGCCCAGCGCCTCGGCGTTCACGAGGCCGCTCAGCTCCCGGGATTTCTGGCAGAATTCCTCCTGCACGACAGAGCTGAAGAGCTCAGCCACGAACTCCTGGAAGCCAGGGACTGTGGCTGTCCTCATGACAAAGCCCAGCACTGTCCCAATGCTCTGGATGCCCGGGGTGGAGGCGGCGATGTCCGACAGCATCCAGGCCTCGGTGCCAACCCAGACCTTCTTCCCCAGCCCCATCCTGATGCTGAGTTCCAGCAGTGCCTGGGCCGGCAGGCTGTGAGCAAACAGCACAACCACATTAACCTGAGTGCTGTTAATTAATTTAACGATGTTTTCCAGCTGCTTTCTGGCGTTGGGCTCGGCCAGGTCTGCGGGGATGAGCCCCTCGAAGGCGATGCAGATGTTGTTCGTGCCAGCCATGCTGAGGAAGAGAGCCTGGGCACCCCGACCATACTCATCATCACTGGCCACCGTGGCAATCCAGTTCCAGCCAAACTGGTTGAGCAGCAGCACCACGGCCTCTGCCAGGTTCTTGTCCCCGGGCACGGTGCGGTAGAAGGACGGGAACAGCTCCGTGTTGCTCAGGGTCTCACTGCTGGCCCCGTAACTCACCTGCAGTGGAACAGACAGGGAGTGAGCAAAACACGGAACTGGCCACGGTGCAGGTCACTCAGCTCTTTTTTTTCTTTCGTTTTGGCACGTTAAGTTTTAAAAAAAAATGATGGTTGGAGTGGTGGTAAAAGAACGGAGTGGCCACGGTCCAGGTCACTCACATCTTCTTTAGTTTCAGCACATGAAGTTTACAAAAATTACGGTCAGGGTGGTGCTAAAAGAATTAAGTGGCAATGTCCAGGCTACTCACTTTTTTTTTTTTTTTTTCTCTTTAGTTTTAGAGCATTACATTTTTAAAAATTATGGTGGAGGTGGGGGTAAAAGAACTGAGTGGCCACAGTCCAGGTCACTCACATCTTCTTTAGTTTCAGCACATTTTTTTTAAATGATGGTCAGGGTGGTGGTAAAAGTACTAAGTGGCCACAGTCCAGGTCACTCACTTTTTTTTTTTCTTTTGTTTTGGCAAATTAAGTTTTTAAAATGATGGTCAGGGTGGTGGTAAAAGAATTAAGTGGCCAAGTCCAGGCTACTCACTTCTTTTTTTTTTTTTCTTTAGTTTTAGAGCATTAAGTTTTTAAAAATGATGGTGGGGGTGGTGGTAAAAGAATTCATCCCAAGGGATGGGGCTGGTGGCTGCATTCATCAATAAGCTGTCTCCTTTGCGTCCCTCATCACTAATGAAGTGATAATTAACTGATTTCTACACAGGGTGACACACCCGAGATTGTTATTTCTTAGCTCGGGGCTAGATTTCCCTGACCATGAGAATTTAATGTGGGTATTTAATCACAGATACATTACACGGGATCCTGCAGGAGCTGCTTTATTCCCGTTTTTGCGTGGGTCAGAGTGGTCTGAGCTGTGCCTGTTCTCTCAGGGAAATGAAACACGAGTGTGTCCAGCAGGGGAGTTAATGACCCACCCAAAAACACTCGGGAAATCTGTGACAGAGGGAAGACTGGGATCTCTGCTTCCCCACCAAAAAGGGAGAAAATTCCCCTGATTTCCATGGAACACAAATTGACTGAGCTGGGATTTGAATGTCCAATATTCCCTCACTTTGTATCTCACACACGGAGCTGCTGTTACCTGTCAGAATGTTCTTTTTACTTCACTTTTATTGGATATATTTGAAAGTCCTTACAAAGCTTGGGAAAGGATTCCTGGATGGAAATCACCAGGAATGCCAACAGGGAAGTGGCCTGGATGAGGCTCCTGGCTCCCACTGCCAGCCTTGAGAGGCTGATGTAAAACATCATTCCTGGAGCTCCTTTCATTAACCGAACCCTATTTTCTCCTCCTTTTTTCTCCCATTGCCACATCCACATAAAATACCAATTCTGGAGCTCGTTTCGTTGCCTAAACTTTAATTCCTTCTTGCCCAGAGAGTTGTTTGGGGTTTTTTTTTTTTTTTTTTTTTTTTTACCTGTGGGATGAGGAAGGAGCTGAAGAGTTTGGCCGTGAGCAGGCACAGATCGGACTTGTGGGGCCCGATGACAGCGGTGACACGGGGCTGGTACTCGGTGTAGTTGCAGAGAACCCCGATGGTTGTGGTTCCTTTTCGGGTCAGGAAGAGCAGGCTGGGCTGCAGGGCCACCAGGGGCTCGAGGCAGGTGTCGTACATGTCATAGCCCAGGGCTATTCCTGGCAGCAGAGAACTGGAATTGTTGATCTGCTCGATGGCAAATCTCATCGCCAGAGCCCAGATCAGCCCGTCCGTGAATAACCTGAGCGTGGGGCAGGGAATTGAAAAGTAAGGAATAAGTTCATTAAAAAAAAAAAAACACGAGGCGATGAGGAACGACTGATATTTATTACTCTTGTAAAATTCGGGAGGAGAGGCAGACTGCTTTGTGATAAACTCAGCCAGGACTTGCAAAGAGGGTGAGGGGAGCAGGGCTACCAGTGATAAAATCCAAAACCCTCAACCAGTGTTATAAACGAGAGACAAATATCGATATTGAGCAGAACTGAGATTGTTTTATTTGCTGCAGACAGAGCAGGCAGCGCTGGGGAACGTGAGGGGTCAGCGCCCACTCCACGCTCCACCCAACCTCGGTTTGCAGCCTCTTCTCACACTGGGGTTTTTATTGTCATCGATAATTTTGGGGTTTTTTGTTGTCCTAAGCAGTGGTGGTTGAATGAACATCCTTGTAGAGACCCAGCAGAGCAGTTCTGGGAGTCTGCTCCTTGAGATGAGCAGCATTGAGCACACAAAGGCAGGAAGGGCTGTTGGGAAGGCTGAGTTTGCAAGCTGGGAGCCCACACAACTTATTTGGAAAATATAACATAATATAACATAACATCAAATAACAAAATATACCATAACAAGGTGATTTTAAACAGAATGACATGGACAGAAAGGACTGCTGTCCCTTGTCACCTTCTTTGATATTTTGGCCCAAACAAGACATTCCTGGCACTGTCAGCAGAGCATCTCTGCACCCACTTGGGAGTTTTTTGCTCTGAGTTCAAGCACCTTTCCAATTTAATTCATCTTTTCTGCCAGCAAAAATATCCTTGGAGCTTCCCAGGAGAAGGAACAGAGGGAAGAGACCAGTTCAGCTGTGAGGGTCAAGACTTTGTGTCCTCCACCCACAAAGCCAAAGGTTCCCCAAGTGTTAATTCAGGAGACTGATTGTGATTGAAATGTGGGATTTTTTTCCTGGGATTTTCCTCCCCTGTGTATCCCAGCACACTGAGCACATTCCCTGCCCCAGGAATGAGAAGATGGAAGGATTTTGGACCTTTTGGAAGGATTTTGGACCCTGCTTTGCTGAGCTGCCAGAGCAGGAGGAGGACACGGGCCTGGCTTCTCATTCTCCTCACCCAGAGCTGTGGTAGGTGCTGATGTGGTGCTGGGAACCACCCTGGTGGAAAAGGGGAGGAGATGCTGCTCACACCTGCAAACCCAGGTGATTTTTTGCTCCTGCTTTGCCCTCTGCCTGGTGCTGAGTGTCCTTTTCCCTCCTAAAAAGCAATAGCACCATCCCAAGGTGTGATCTACTCACCAGTGTGTGGGACCAAAACCAGAATTTACAATTTAGGTGTTTGATTCAAGCCCTAAAGTGCTGCTAAAACCTTTTATCAAGAAGACTCTAAAGTTTGATAGAATGGAGAAAACACAGAAACATTTCCATTTTGGGAGCAGCTGATGTCCCAGTCCCTGGTGCTGAGTGTCCTTTTCCCTCCTAAAAAGCAATGGGTAGATCACACCATCAGTGTGTGGCACTAAAACCAGAATTTACAATTGAAGTGTTTGATTCAAGCCCTAAAGTGCTGCTAAAACCTTTTATCCAGAAGAGTCTAAAGTTTGACAGAATGGAGAAAACACAGAAACATTTCCATTTTGGGAGCAGCTGCTGTCCCTGTGCTCCACCCCTCTCACTCTTCCTCCCCCTGCAGCACAACCATTTAATTTTCCTTTTTTTTTTGCCTCTCTTACCTGTCACAGCGCAGCAGGGTGGGCTCGGAGCGAGCTGTCAGGTTCACCGTGTCCTTCCCGAAGGGGAACAAACCCCCCAGCATGAAATCCCCGGGCCTCCTGAACTGAGCCGAGAGGCACGAGGGGCTCAGGGGGGCGGCACAGCCAAAGCTCAGGCACAGCCAAAACCCCTCAGGGATCTTCATTTTCTGAGAGGGAAAAAGAAACCTGGGGAAAAGGAGGAGAGCAGGAAATGAGGGCTCAGCTATTCCTGGGAAGTGTCTTTTAAATAGAGCTCAGAGGGATTGAAGTAATGGGGAGGAATTTGTTTAGTAAAATGCTTTAATTTAATTTTAATGGGCAATAATCAAATACTCTCTGAGGGTACTGGGTACAAACCTCTGCCCTCATCCTGATTTCCTTTAGTGAGTAAAAACTGATTTACAACTCATTGTAAATAGAACGTGTAAACAACACCCTGTGAGTGATTCACAAATTCATTGTTACAGCTGAAATTTGGGCTCCTCTGGGACAGGTGACAAAACTCAGGTGCCCCACTCTGAATCTGGTAAAACACTTACACAGCACTAATTTTTATTTCTTTATTTTTAAAAATTCGAGGTCACCTCATCACGGAAATAATCAAATTTTCCTTAGGGCAAGGCAGGAATTTGCCTGGAGAGGCCATTCCTGGGTCACAAGGTTGGTGAGCTGTCACTCAGCTGTACTGATATTTTTTTAGGAAGCTGTTGCTGGCTGATCTATTTTTTTTTTTCTCCTCACACCGAGCTGGGACATTAATTTCAGTTAAAAAACTTAAATCCGAGTTCACAGCATGGCAATTTAGGTTTTATTACTGTATTTTTTTCTGTCCAGGGCTGGATTTTAGGACAGCTCTGAATGAAAAGTTCAATTTCCTGCATCAGAAAACTTCTTTGGCTGCCAAAGTGATGTCCAAGGCTGGAATATTTTCCTGGCAGGAAGAGAAGCAGATACAGAAACCTAAATACAGGAATAATTCAGGGAAGCACCAGTTACAGCTGAGTTTTCCAGGTATGTTCATACTGACATTTTAAAAATGATCCTTTTCTTTTACTGGATTATTTAAGTGCCAGCTTTAAGTATAAAAGTTTAAAAAGTAAGTTCTAAACACAATCCTGAATTTTGGGCAAGTTCACCTTCAATATTAATATTTATATTCCTAAGAGGAATAGTTAGAACAAGTGTGACAAGGGAAAAAAAAAAGTATTTTTCTTGTGGTCAGACCATCATTTTAATAGATTTAAACCCGTTTTTTTTCCCTTGACACACATCATTTCATTTAGTTTAAGGTATTTAATTCACTGCCCAGGTGAAAACACCAGCACCAGGGAAACGAAACAGATTTTTCCAGGGAAAGAAAATCTGAGTAGGTCAGAGTTTAAATGGTTTTCCTTCCACCACCACACACCCAGAGTGTGATCCCACAAAGGACACTGCTCAAAACCAGATTATTCACAGAATTTAATATCCAGTGAGTCCAGTCTCCATGAGGTAATCGTGATTTCCTGAATTTCTCAGTGTTACATTAATCAATCAGAGACAATCAGCCTGTGGGATTCCCCCACGTGTCCCTGTCACCCTGCAGTGTTTTTCCAGCTCCCCAAAAGCTCAGCAAATCCCTTCTGCCATCCTTTGGCTCCTCCAGTGGTTTCCAGCAGAAGGCAGAAGCCTCACAAAGCAGTGATTTACAGTACAAGTGTGGATTTCCCCCCCAAAAACAGGCAGAAAAATCCTTTTTGTAGGCATTTGATACATTCATTTAAAAAAAAAATAAAATAAAATAAATAAACACACAAGAGAACACAACTCAGAAGGAAACAGCTCCAGGCTGGGCTGGACACAGGGGATTGTGCAGCACGAATTCCAATCTGCTGCACAAATCCCAAGTGCAAAACCAGGGATTCAAGGGGCTCTGGGTGGATCCCAGAGTTCCAGGAACCCTTTTAAGGTCAAGACATCCACCCCAACTTCCTTCAGCTCCATGAGGAGGCTGTGCCAGGGAATGGAGCTGCTTTTCCCCAGTGCATTCCTCAGGATTCAATTCTCCAGGTGAAGCCCCCTCAAGGTGGGTTTTTGTGGCCAGGTGAGTTCCCATGGGGTAGAAACGTGTTCAGACACCACGAATCAAATTTGTGCTGCCACACGAGGCCACAACTATTGCTGTAAATGCACAGAACCTGCTGAAGTTTGGCTTGATAAGAAAAAAACTTTTCGACAACAACAAAAAAAAATAAATAAATCCCTAATGTGGTTTTTTTTTTTTTTTTCCCTAGCTGTAGAGCTCTACACACAAAGATGTAAAAACAAAAAACAAACCAAAACAACTGGTCCACATTTATAAAGTGAGGCATCCTTCACAGTCTGGGAAGAAAAAAAAAAAAAAAAAAAACCGGGGGAGAAAACAGGGGGGAAAAATGTGATTTTTTTTTTTTTTTTTTTTCAAGGCAGGTCGAGCAGGTCGTGCTGCTCGAAGAGCTGCTGGGTGATGCCGTAAACCTCGCTGATGTAGGGGATGGCTTCACCCAGCATTGCCACAGCCTCCTGGGGCGACCCCACGTTCATGACCTCCAGGAAAGCGTCGCGGCTCGGCAGCGCGCAGAACGCCACGGTGGCGGCTTTGCGGATGAGCCAAGGGTGATGCTCGGCCAGGGAAGCGTTGTAGGCGTCGGTGCAGAGCACGGAGGGGCGGGAATCAGGAGAGAGCAGCCCCTGCAGGAAGAGCTGCAGCCAGCGCAGGGCGCGGTGCAGCCGCAGCAAAGTGCGGCAGCCCGAGTCCGGCCGGGACCGCAGCGCCGCCCGCCCCGCCGCCAGCTCCCGCTGAACCATGGCCTGCACCGACACGAAACCGTGCTGCTCGCAAAGATCCTCCAGCAGAGTCACCTTGGCCACGGCGTCCTTGGAGATGAAGGAGAAGACGGCGCCCAAACTCTGGAGGAATCTGCGGGAAGGGAGGAATGGGTGGAAAAATGGGTGAGGGCGGGAAGAGAATTCAAAAAGACACCTGAGGGGTGGAAAGGGAAACCCAAAATCTATCTGAGGGGTGAAGAGAGAACCCAAAATTCATCCGAGGGGTGAAAAGAGAACCCAAAATACACCTGAGGGGTGAAAAGGGAACCCAAAATGTATCTGAGGGGTGAACCCAAAATGCATCTGAGGGGTAAAAAGGGAAACCCAAAATCCATCTGAGGGGTGAAAAGACAACCCCAATATCCATCTGAGGGTCGAAAAGGGAATCCCAAAATCCACATGAGGGGTGAAAAGAGAACCCCAAAAAGCACCTGAGAGGTGAAAAGAATACCCCAAAATCCATCTGAAGGGCGAAAAGAGACTCTAAAACCGGCTGAGGGGTGAAAAGGGAATGTAAAACCATTTGAGGGGTGAAAAGATACCATGACAGATCCCTGTTGGAACGCGACTGGGATTTGTCCCTCACATCCCCTCCGCCAGTGTGAGGCCACCGCTCCCTGTCCTGTCACCGCATCCCCCTCGGAGGGAAACACCCGCTGGCTCCCGGCAACTCACCGGATGAGCCCCCGCCAGCCGCTCAGGTACGGCTCCAGCAGCACCTCCCGCTGCTCCGTCACGCACCTCCGGAAAGCGTCCAGAACCTCCCTGAGGCAGAAGGCGCCCGGCGCCGGCACGGCCGCCGCCATCGCTCCGCGGCGCCGCCGCCGCCGCCGCCTCTTCCTCCTCGTTCCGCATCCCGCACCGCCTGCTCGGCCAATCAGCGTCGCGTCCGTCACCCGCTGCGCGCCTCGCACCAATCAGATTCGCGTGCGTCACCGCGGCTCGGCCAATCCGCGTGGGGTCCGCGAGGGGCGGGGCGGCGCAGGCGCGGAGGAGGCGCCGGGCGCTGTGAGGGGCTGCGGGCCGGGCCTGGGTGAGCGTGGGGAGTTTTGGATGTTTTTATAGGATTTTTCTGTGGTTTTATGCTTTTTTTAGGCTGTTTTTGTGTATTTCTACATGCGTTTTCCCGGCTCTCGGCAATGATGGTGGATATCGAAGCCAAACAGCGCCGGTTTCCCACAGGTTGTTGTTCATCACCTCCCCCGTGTTTTCTGTCTCTCCTCAGGATGAAGTTTGGCCTCTGCTCCAGCCTTAGGCCAGATCTTGGACAACAATTGAAATGGCGCCTCTAAAACCAGCGAAATCCTCTCTTTTTGTGGCCTCCACGGATCCGCTTCTGGAGTAATTTTCTGCGCGGATTTGGGACCTGGAGTGGGGTAAAAATGCCTGAGATTAAAGTCACTCCTTTGGGTAAGTGCAGCCTAAAATCGCCTTGAAATACAAACACTGAAAAGCTGTGGGATTTGGAGTTCAGGGTAATATCGGCCACACTGCCGGATGTGATTCCTGTCTGCATCTCTCTGCCCTCTCTTGGTTTATCCAGCAACAATTTTAACCATTTGGATTAATTAATCAGAATTCATGAATTCATTCAGGTGAAGGCACTGTGGTATTGTGGTAGAGCATTAATTCACCTACAGTGCTAAAGGAAGAAAATATTTCTGTTTTTTCCGTGTTTAATTAATCTTTTTAATGGGTTCTGTAGTGAGAGGGCAGAGGATGTGCTGAGCAGGAGAGCTGCTTTATCCTCACGGATAATTTTCAGGCTTGGTGTAAATTTAATTTAATGAAGCTTAATGAGGGCAGAGCAGCTGGAAGCTGAGTTCTAATCCTTGCCAGATAAAGAATTCTTTTCTCCCTTGGAAACTGCAATTCAGGAAGTTTGTGCAGATCTTTACCTGCTTTGCTTTTGAAAGAGTTGCAGCTTTTTCCAGACGTGTTTTACCAGTGTTTTGCTGGTATTTTATTGGTGTTTTGCTGCTGGGTTTTTTTGGTGTTTTGCTGCTGGGTTTTTTTGGTGTTTTGCTGCTGGGTTTTTTTGGTGTTTTGCTGCTGGGTTTTTTTGGTGTTTTGCTGCTGGCTTTTTTGGTGTTTTGCTGGTATTTTACTGGTGTTTTGCTGCTGTTTTTTTGGTGTTTTGCTGCTGTTTTTTTGGTGTTTTGCTGATGTTTTGCTGGTATTTTACTGGTATTTTACTGATGTTTTTACAATGTTTTACTGGTATTTTACTGATGCTTTGACAATGTGTTACTGGTATTTTGCTGATGTTTTTACAATGTTTTACTGGTGTTTTACTGATGTTTTGACAATGTTTTGCTGGTGTTTTGCCGATTTCCAGGTGCTGGGCAGGACGTGGGCAGGAGCTGCATCCTGGTGTCCATTGCTGGCAAGAATGTGATGCTGGACTGTGGGATGCACATGGGCTACAACGATGATGTGAGTGTCCCTTGGGCCAGCTCCAGCTGTCCCCTCCTGTCCCCCCTGCATTTCTGGGCTCCTCTCTCACCCACTGGATTATGGCAGAGCTGTTCTTTCCCCTTCAAAAATCTCCCTTCCTGCCCCAAACATCCCTCCCCTCAATATTCCATGAAATGTCACCCTCCAGCCCTCCTTTCCTTGGCTCCTGGGCTTTGGAAAAAATATTTATTCATGCAGTTAGAAATGCTCCATTCCAGGTTTCCAGGAGATCTCTGGATTTCCTGTGAGCAGCAATCCTGTCCTTAGCTTTGGGACAGTTCCTTCCATGTGGGATCCTCACCACATTTCTCCTCTGCAAGGAGAGAGAAGGAAACTCCTGATTTTGGGTTCCCTGACACAGCAGGAGGGGAATAATGGCACAAATATTCTGCAGGATTGTCACAGCAAATGTGCTGTGACAGGAAAGCTTTGGGGCCTTTGTGCCTCAGAGCCAGGATGTGTTCAGCACCTGTTTTACTTGGGAAATAAAATAATTTATTTATCAGAGGGTCACTTCTCTGTCTGTCCCCTCCTTTCTGTCCCTGCACACTAAAGCTGCTGGCACAGTGTTCCAGATCCTTCTCTTCATGGTTTTGTTGGATGTTGGAGTTACCTGGAGAGGCTCAGCACATTCCCAGTGTTCCAGATCCTTCTCTCCATGGTTTTGTTGGATTTTGGTGTCACCTGGAGAAGCTCAGCACATTCCCAGTGTCCCAGCTCCCTCCATCCATGGTTTTGTTGTTGCCTTGAAAGGCTCAGCACATTCCCAGTGTCCCATCCCCGTCTCTCCATGGTTTTGTTGGATTTTGTTATTGCCTGGAGAGTTCTCAGCACATTCCCAGTGTCCCATCCCTTTCTCTCCATGGTTTTGTTGGATTTTGTTATTGCCTGGAGAGTTCTCAGCACATTCCCAGAGTTCCAGATCCTTCTCTCCATGGTTTTGTTGGATGCTGATGTTGTCTGGAGAGTTCTCAGCACATTCCCAGAGTCCCATCCCTTTCTCTCCATGGTTTTGTTGGATTTTGTTACTGCCATGGGAGTTCTCAGCACATTCCCAGAGTCCCATCCCCTTCTCTCCATGGTTTTGTTGGATGCTGATGTTGTCTGGAGAGTTCTCAGCACATTCCCAGTGTCCCAAGCCCTCCCTCCATGGATTTGTTGGCTCACTGATGCATTCCTGATGGGTTTCCTGTTTTCCCATGGCTGCAGAGACGCTTCCCTGACTTCTCCTACATCACCCAGAATGGAAGGCTGACAGATTTCCTGGACTGTGTCATCATCAGGTGAGGCACCTTCCTTGTCCCAGCTCTTTTTGTGCTCTCCCTGAACATCCCAAACACTTCCCAAACCCACCCCTCATATTTTAGCTGCTTTTTCCAGAGCTTGAAAAGATCTGGGAACC